GGAAAAGAATGTATTTTTGTCGTGATGAGTAGTCGTGGAGCAGGGTCACGAACAATTTTCCCTTGGGTAACTATATCGTATGGTACTTAAACTCTCGAGTCTCACGAGTCGTCTCAGGGGGCTATTTACAATTTCATCGCACAACGTGTTAGCCGTAGTATTATGAGTTTCCTGACTACAACTCGAAGCTACTGCTGGAACTTTCTAAACTGTCAATTCTGCTTAACTGCTTAAACAACGCGGCGAGGCCTGGAAAAAGGCTGTTTTCGGAAAATTGCATTTTTGGAGCGGCTTTGCTGGAACGTTATTTGTGAGATCTGAAATTGCAGTGTAATCTGGATACTTCACGTGAATTTTACATAGGATTGGCTGTGAAATTTATATTGTTATAAGAATTGTGAAGTATACATTGTTGTAATGTATGAGAAATTGCTATAATATTAGATACATTATGGACTTTCAATTTATGTTTCAAAAGTTTTGCGAATTTTCAGTTCATGATGTCACAAATTGTTATTTATGATTGGTAGAGTAATATTTTATGTCATTAACTTATGACTATAGAGAAAAGTATGAATGTACTTAATATAATTTTATTATTAGTTAGAAGAAACATTTTCATGTTCGCAAACTTCTTTACTGAATTATCAGTAAGATAAACGGCCTCCTATTACCGAGGAGGTCTTCATTCACGACCACCTGTTTATTTCCCTTCATTAAATATGACAGATGAAGCAATTTATTCATCTGAACCTTAATACATTTAAGTACATTAAGCACACATATTTTATTTATCGTTTGCAAGTTATTATTTTATTATTGTGTTCATTCACAAGTGTAATTATAAATTTATAACATAATAAGACATGTATATATTAATACATATATAAATTCAATGCATATATATTTTTAAAGTCACCAATACTACAAGACTTTATATGAAAAATCTATGTATAATAACAAGAAAACATAAATTTTCATGTAATAATTATAAAAAGCATAATATAAAAGAAATATCGATTAAATGTAATAATTATTTGTGCTTGAAAACTGATTTATTCAGAAATCTAGAAAGACCAACATTCAGTGCTCTCACGCAAAAATCTTTATAGGTTAATAAAACCTACTTTCAAACTAGTATTTTCAAACTTCACTCTCCTATATCCGCTAATAGCATCGTTAACCTCATTCATATTCAACTATAGAAATACGGGGTACTTGTTTATAGAATGCGAGCTATTTCAGTGAATGAACGTGTCTTTTCGCGCGAATTTGCTGCGCATTCTCTACTGCGCAGCAGTAATGGCTGCCGCGGTAGAGTTCGATATTAACAAACAATTCGAAATACAGTTTGCGAACAAACTAAAAACTCTTAATGATTACTAATATATAACACGTTTAGTTAAAATAATTTCTAACTATTATAATTAATATAATAAAACTATATAAAACTTAATAATCTAAATATATCAAGAATTCCTCTATTAAATATAAGAATTAACAAAGACAATTTAAACCGTACTAAAGTAATAGTTTACACGATTGCTGACAGATTTAGCTGCTCACTTATACCGAGATCTTGCAGCGTTCCATATTGCAGCCTGTATTTGTCAAGTTTAATTGCCTTAGAAGCCCATTTCACGAGACACAATCGAGTCCGCGGGATATTGGAATTCAATTCGTTCCTTTAAACGCCAACGGCCGTGGTTGTAATCCGTGAATTTATTGCTGATTTGGATTAATTATTCACTGCCTTAATACAACGCAATACGATAATGCGTCTATCAATGAGCTTCGCTAAATATAAAACACGTTCAGTGCGAAATACCGTTCGCGTGATAAATCCGCGTTACGCGATCAATAAATCGGGTAAATGTGGATAACGCACGACACTCTGAATCTTTGCTATTTGTTTTTCCTAAATTTATACCTCAACGTTATTTTACGTATCGACAGAAAAATCGATTGTGCAACATCTTTCTTCTTTCTCGTTACGTTTATTCGATACAGGGTTGCGTACCGGGTGTTCCGTGTAACGGGGATTGCAATCACATTGGCAATATTTGTTGTACAAATATTTTATGGTTTTGTCAGATTTTTGGAAGTATGAGATTTTAGGAAGGGTCTACAGTTTCATATTTTGTGAGTTTGAAACTTTTTAATTTTTGGATTTTGGAATTTTGGAATTTTGGGGTTCTGGGAATTTTGGGATTTGGGAATTTTGGGATTTGGGAATTTTGGGATTTGGGAATTTGGGAATTTAGGAATTTAGGAATTTGAGAATTTGGGAATTTTGGGATTTGGGAATTTTGGGATTTTGGGAATTGGGAATTTCGGGATTTGGGAATTTGGGGATTTGGGAATTTGGGGATTTTGGAATTTTGGAATTTTGGGATTTGAGAAATTTAAGATTTTGAGAATTTGGAATTTGGGGAATTTGGGATTTGGGGACTTTGGGATTTGTGGACCTTGGGATTTGGGGAATTTGGAATTTGGGAAATTTGGAATTTGGGGAATTTGGGATTTGGGGAATTTGGGATTTGGGGAATTTGGGATTTGGGGAATTTGGGATTTGGGATTTGTGGACCTTGGAATTTGGGGAATTTGGGATTTGGGGAATTTGATATTTTGGGAATATGGAATATTGGAAATTTGGGATTTGGAGAATTTTGGGATTCGGGAATTTCGGAATTTTGAAATTTTAGAACTTTTAAACTACAGAATGTTAAAATCTTGTAATTTTACAGTTTTTATATTTTTGAAATTAGGTATCTTAGAACTTTGAGACTCTGAAATTTTTAAACATTCGAGGTCTTTAATTTCTAAACCCTAAAACCTTGAGACTTCGAAATTTTCTAGAATTTGGTAATTTCAAAGTTTTCGATCGATTGGAAGTTCGGAATTTTGGAACTCTACGCTTTCGGAAGTTCTGAGCTTCGGAACTTCCGAATACTGGAACTTCGAATCTTCGGAATTTGCAGAGATAATGTAGTTATCCGAATAACTGTTTGTGTCTCGTCGTTCGGGAGTTGAATTTGAATATCGGACTTCGGTCCAACAAGTAGATTATCTGGAATCAAGGTCGCTTCGTTGATGATTCTTATTATTAGACCGTGGAAGTTTATGCAAGTATGATATGCCGCAGCTGTGCAAAACATATGCAAAATGTGCAGCATGTGCAAGATAAATACAGAAAGCAAAAATTACAGAATTTACTTTTGCAAGATTTAGAAAGTTTTTTATAACAAATATAATAGCGATTTCAATAATATTTAAGCAGTATCAGAATTCAAATTTAAATAATATTTTCAAATTAATAATTTTAAAAACTCAAGTTTAAATAATATTTGCAAATTAACAATTTTAATAAGTCAAGTTTAAATAATATTTTTTAATTAATAATTTTTATAATTCAAATTTAAATAATATTTTCTTGTTAATAATTTTAATAACTCAAGTTTAAATAATATTTTTAAATTAATAATTTTAATAACTCATGTTTAAGGAATATTTTCAAATTAATAATTTTAATGACTCAAGTTTAAATAATATTTTCAAATTAATAATTTTGATAAATCAAGTTTAAATAGCATTTTCAAATGAATAATTTAAATAATTCAAATTTGAATAATATTTTCAAATGAATAATTTTAACAATTCAAATTTAAATAATATTTTCAAATAAATAATTTTAACACTTCAAATTTTAATAACAATTTCAAATTAATTATTTAAATAATTTGAAAAATAAGAGAGAAGCTATAAGTGGTCCAATGTTGATAGAATCTGCTGAAAAATATCCTAACAAATTAAATGCAGGAAATTGTCATAAAAGTGTTACGAGTGCTTTAATTATATGGTAATTTAGACGAAAGTATCCATTAAAAATGTCATTAAAACGAGTCTCATAAAAGTTTTAAAATGCTCTAAAAGATCTGTCGACAGAGGAATTAAATTGTAGGAGCATGTTATATTCACAGACACAAGTAAATACTATTTGTCGAATTCAGGTTAACTTACGGTCTTGCGAAATGCAAATACCGAGCTTAATTAAAACAATTTTAAAATAGCAGTAAAACACGGAGATATCTCGGTTTTAATGGTGTATAGTTACCCATGGTGCAGATTGAATTTTTATAGATGTACGTTTGAACGTACAAACATTTTATGAAATCGTCATAAATTACAAGTGGAAACAATTACACATAACAGTAATATATAACCGGAAATCAATTATTACTTACAAGATAGTGATACGAGGAAAATAACTCAGATTGTGAAGAAATGCTTTGCATATGTGGTACACATATGATTTAAGCTAATTTCATATGTAGACATAAATCTGAACATAGAATTGCATTCGAAGAAAGAGAATTTAAAAATTCTTTATAATATTTATCAAAATAAAAAAAATTGGTAACTTAAGTTTTAATTTAAATAAATGGAACGTAAACACATTGCAAAAATTTACAAAATTTATTTGATTTTTGCCACTTGCGATATCCTGTGCGTTAAGTTAGGTTAGGTCACATGGACTGCCGAATCTAATAATAATAATAGGTCTATAACCTAACCTTTAATTCAACAAAAACATACTGACATAAATAGTAACAGTAAACAGTATTTAATAGTAAAAAGTAAAACAAAATTAAACTAAATAAAAGTATGTAAAAGTATATAAACAGTGGAATAAATATAATCTTAATTTTGTGTCTCAGCATTCAAAAACCCTAAATTATGATATTCAATTTATTTGCAGATAACAAATCTATTTTAATTGACAAGGAACTAAAAGGTCTTTTAAATCGTTATAACCCCTATGAGGATTAAGCACAATAGATCAATCTCTTTAGCATTCAGATTACGTCCGCCTGACTTGTCGTAAGAACACAAAAATTCGACAACTCAATTTGAATAAATTTCCCGGCCCGCTACCGCACACGCTGTAAAAGCTTCTCAAGCATAAAATTAGTAACTACATTCGATATTTTACGACTTACCTCTGATTATGCATCCTGAAATTTTCGGCTCTCTCCCGCGCTTAACGAGATTTTCATCCGTTGTTGGATAGCGCCAAAAAGCTGTGCGTGCATAATTCTTTCCCCTAACGACGTCTGTCTCTTTCGTGCAATTACACTGATATTCGAGATTCAATTATATTTAACGTAAGTCTCACTCAAGGTCCGATCGATTACCACAGATTTCCGTTCGTCCGAGTTCCAAGAAGGACTATCTTTGTACACCCCATGCGACCGTCTAACAATATCACCTTTTCAGTCTGCTCGCCAAGGTACATTCAACGGCATTGTATCCAACATCCAAACTTTCCTGGCAAAATCTGACCAAGGTTTCGAAAGAAAACCTGTTACAAGCTCTCGAAAGAAAAATATCACATCCCTTGTTTCTTTTACCCTGCGAGATATTAGTTTTAGTCGGAAGATTCAATCGCGAGAGCACCGGACCTGGAGGTCCTCCGATCACCACTAGGACATTGGACTTGGATCAAGTTTTTCCGTCAAATTTCCGGGAGCGGTTCAGGGGGGTTGATAACCGTGGAGGGGTTAGTTGCCAGCACGTGGCAGTTTTTATCGGGGGATCACACGTGTCATGCGAGACGATTATTGGCCTTTGTAAGCACTTTGACAAATGATCCACCGCATATGGCGCGTCGCGCACGACTGAGACCAGATTTTGCTTCAACTATCCTCTCCCTCTGATCTACCCCCACCAGAACAGCATCCGTACTCTTCTTCGACCCTCTACGTTTCCCCGAGTGACGTGGTTGTAACACGCAGACTCCGTCGTGTACTTCTCTCCCCGTGAGATAGCACTTTGGCTAGGTGCTTCTCTTTTTACGTTCCCGATCAAAGCAACGCGGGGAATCACTCGGAGCCAGCTTTCTTATTGTGATCCAATTACGGTCACTCACGAATTGTACAGTGCGTTTATGCAGATTTTGATTTATAAGGGTGGAGACAGGTGTCAGGTTTGCACCTTAAGTAATTGATGCTCTCCTTCATAAATTAGTTACGTTTTTATAAATTGAAATTATTAATAGGGGAAACGTGTTATAGATTGCATTGGTTATTGAGAGGAACATTGAACGAGGGAAATATGTTACAGCGTTGCAAAATTCGTTAAGATATTACAGCTGGTATAGAAAATGAGTTATCTCTTTCTTCGAGTCCCTCAATACCTTATCTATTGTACCAGAATTGATGGGAGAACAATGGGCAATTACTGAAGATTTTCCCGGGCTGTTAAGAAGAATACGGGGTGTTTCACCAACTTGCGTTGAGATATTTCTCTCACTTTTAATAATTTTTAGTTTTAATACGGGATTCAATTTAATATGGGAACAATTCATCCCTTTGATTCATGAAAGAATCGATGGGGAAAAATTGATTGGGAGAAAAATAGATGAATCAAAGGGATGATTGGATGGGATTGGATGGGAAGAGATTGTTTGGTTTGGAAAAATATAACAAACCTAAACTTTTTCATAAGCTAATTTTCAAAACTTGCAGTTATTGAGGCTTCTTTTAAGAAGTATACCATGACATAACATTAATATTATATATACAATACAATTATTACGTGTATGTATTACATTGTTCAATGAAGACAGTCAAATTTTCGCAGTTACTTGTGTTTTATGTTCTAAGGTTGCCAAGAACGCTGGCGCCAGCCGGTGACGCCAAATGATGATCCTTATCTATAGACATATGACTATTGCAAAATAAATTGATGCAATTTAGTATAAGGAAAATGGGAATTCTTTTTGTGCTTCAATTAATCGAACGGTTTAATCAAAGAGTGGTTCTGATTTGTTGCTTTTGGCAACAGGGTGCGTCTCAGTAATGTTGCGTTCGACATTGACCACCATTTTGCAAGCATTTTCAAAATATACAAAAGAATATTTTGTACAAGAGTTAGTCAGATTTGGATCTGCTATGTAATCGAGTGTTAGAAATGTTTGAACATCTTTTTTTTAACGAAATTAAGGTCAGTTTCATTTTTTATAAGTGACTACGAATGCACTCACTTTTAGCTACATAGAATTGTAACTAATATCAAGACGATTCAGTGATGCACTATATTGTGATCTTGAATTAACAAATTTAGGTTAAATAGTTCAATCAGTAGGTTAACATGAAAAGTTATTTTATTTAAACCATTGTAAATTATTCAAGGTAAATTATTGAGGGTTAAGTTATTCAAGGTTGATTAAATTAACAAATTTATCAACCCTGTGTTGTATGATTTTTGTCAATTTTATGAAATTTTTGTGGAGAAATGTGGAAATGGAAATGTATACATCACTGATTTATTTTTTCCACAAATTGTTTTTAATTTTTGTACGTGAAATTGTACGTGAGGTGATATTCTCAGGGAACTATATTAACACCAGAAGATACGGGAATTTCGTTCGAATGGAACTTCCTTCCCTCCTGCACATCAACTTTGTAACAAGGTACCGAATTGTGGTTTCAATCCAATGGTGTTTCTCCACATTATCACCGTGCAGTTCGAACCACATTAAATGAAAAGTTTCCTAATTGTTGAATTCAATGAGAAATATGTGTTAAATTTTCACTCCCAATATCAAATTGGTGAGCATTAGATAATTTTCCTGTAATCATCTTTCAAAAACAAGGTTTTTCTACGAAAAATTCTTTGAGAGTTGGTTTAAAATTTACAAATTTTGTAATTTAGAATTTTATTAATTTACAGAGAGCAATTTGAAAAACATATTATTTTTCTGAGCTTAATATCTGGAGAATTATGTGTATAGTAACATCTGTCAGAATTAAATTTTCAATACGAAAATAAACAGTAATTATAACAAAAATTATACAGTAATTATAAATAAAAATTATTTAATCTAGAGAACCTCACATTATTTAAACAACAAAAAATTCTTTAAATTAACAGTCACGAACGCAGCTAATTGTGAATATCCAGTAAAAATGCCTCACCACAAAATGGCGTCCAATATGGTTCCAATATGGCGTCGTAAACTTCTCAATTGTACTTCTACACCACATACTCGAGTTTGATGCCAAAGAACCTTATACAACCTTATAAAACCTCGTATATCTATGTAAATTTCTGAATTTGGCTCGAAAATGATTATAGACAAGGTTTACAAACGTCGATTACAGTTCTGTCACATGGCTGCCATATTAAATGCAATATTAAACATGTTAGCATCACTTTTTGTATTCACAGTTACTTTCTGCATATCGTTTTTCGTTTATTTAATAATTAAATAAATATTCAGTGTTACATTACAATTAGGATTCTAGTTAATTTTATTGCTTTTTGAGCAATTATGTAATGGATACGTTTCCAGGTACTGTCCCGTACAAGCTTTGAAGGAGTTAGACTTTGTACTTCCACGGAACCATTATGGCGCATTTACTTTCCTCGTAAAGGATTCTGTTATTTTCTTAAGTGCCCTATTTTTCTCTTTAGCCATGCGTTTACAAATCATAGTAAAAAAGGCGTTAGGATCTTCAAGTAGACCCTCGATTATCTAAACCAATCATTATAATAGATTTACTGTATACCGCACTTCCAAAAATCATTTATTTCATTTTATTTTCTTAAAACATCCATATAGTGATCTCAAACTTCTTTTTAAATCATCATTTGTTTAACTGATACCTATTTTTTTTAAACTCACGGCACATGATACTTGTTTATTTATTATATTTTACATATGTTATATGTACTCGTTTATACATTGTATAATCTCATAAATGTGGAAACAATTGTCCATGAAATTTCATTAAAATCAAAAAACTGAACGACAGCGTAAATGTAAAATTAATCAAAAAATGATTAAAAGAGTGGCTCGATCAATACACTTTTGTTCACGAGCAGGCAACAAATGTATCAAAATTGTTCGTAAATATCCTTGTAGAAACATTTTCAAAAACCACCCCTGTGTTTCCCATTTTCTATTGAACGCAGAAAACACGCGTTTGGAAAATTTGGCATAAAAGAGCTCGCAAACAATGCACAATGTGTGGAGTACGGAAATCGTATGAATAGAATCGGGAATTATTTCGAATTATTGGGAGAAATGTATGGTGCTTCATAAAATTATACATTCATCCCCGGTTTTAAAGTTTCGATATTTTCGGACGATTTTCGATGTTTTTTACAGCGGGATTGCGTGGAAGTGAAAAAGCAATCATTACATACGAATTATTAATTTTTATATTGCTTAATAATATTTTTATCAGTATTTAAGTAGTTGAGAATTTACGGATTGACTAATTTCGTGAAATTTGATCGATATCTTCGATTTCAGATAATTATTCTTTTGATACATGTTTTTTCTTTTATTAGGTGTGGAATCAAACGAATAACAAAATGGTTCACTGAATGAAAATTCTTTTCTTTCTTTTTCAAATTTTACATTCACAGACTATTCATATTTTATGACAGATAAATAAAAGAATAACTTTATATTAAAATACTGATAATTTTTCGAGTTTTTAATTTAGTTAACCTTTTACAAAAGAAACATTGATTACTATAATACCTAATTTCGCCACTAGATGGCTTCCAAGCTTAACTTGCTCTCGCATCCACTAGAAGCTAACTTTCTATCCTCCGTATACCTTTCCACTTAAAGTTTCCAGCGTCTAAGGCTGATTATGGCAACAAAAATGTTCATTGTGTGGCTTCCATGTCGGGCTTGTTTGGGAATTCAAGTTCATTCCACTACCTCCCTGATAACTGTACAATCTATGGTGCGCATCTACATTGTAGACCATGGGGAAATAAACATTGCACCCATGTTAAAACATATATTCAAGAATAAAACAGTTTTCAAACAACATAATCTATTTTAAATTTTATTTGAATTTAGAAAACAATCTTTTGTTGAAGACAAAGTAATTTTATTTTTTAAGCAAAGGATTCTTGGCAATCAGATTCTTCAATAAACTCTGTAGTTTTTAATATAAGGCAATTATATGTATAGCAGTGCAATAAACAATGAAGTACATTATGTTACTGACCAAACGAGTTACGTAATAATTTATAATAATGTATAATTATTGTTCTCTTCTTAATATCAATAATATAAAATCATTTTCTCTGAAACAATATTTCTTATCATTCGCAATTACAATTTTTTAGTTACATATTTTAAAAATGTTGCAAGCTTACATTATACAATTCTTCCTTAAATTTTCTTTTAATAGAAAGCATTTGTATGTTATTTTTTGGTGATAGTTAAAAAATCTCAACATTAAAAGAATTGTAAAAAAGGTAGATTACAGAATTAATTTCTATTTATAATGTAGATCCAGTATGCAAATACATTTCATCTCTCCCAGCATTCGCAAAGAAAAATCGCACACAACGCAGCTGTTGCAACCTGTTTTATCTCTAAATCTCGCAAACGAGTAAACCTTGTTACGCGTCGTAAGGGAGAAATGAAGAATTCTGAAAACAAGTTGTTATCAGATTTTAAAATGCAAATCTTTTACACAAACATTATGTGTACGTTGATTAACCATAAAATACATCTATCCGTGATTCTCTTGTCAACAACGCAAACCTGGCGAGTTTGAATAGCCTGTGAAGACGATCTTCTTGACAACCTATAGATCGTATCTTTAATGGTATATGTGGCAGCATCTACGAGAACACTTACACTGCTAATTATA